CACAACCAAGAAAGTCTGAATCTGAGTATCCAATCACTTTCAAATTATCTGTTTGTTTATACATAAGCATGTAATTTTTCGTTCCTTGAAAGTATCTCATTACTTTCTTTATTGTTCTCCAATGGTCCATACCTAAATTAATCTGATATCTTCATAACATTCTTGTAACGAATACAATGTCAGGCCTTGTGTAAACCTAAGCATACATCAGGCTTCCGACAACAGAAGCATATGAAATGTTCTTCATTTGTTCCATTTCTATATCATTTTTTGGGCATTGGTAAAAATAGAACATATTACCCTTCACAATGAGAACTACACTAGATGAACAATCATTTATCCGAATTCTCTAAAATTTTATTGATATAGGTTTCCTGAGACATACCTAATATTCCTCTTATTCTGTCTCTATGAATCTTAATGTCAATGACATAAGATACCTCACCCATATCCTTTATATCAAAATGCTTAGAGAGGAATTATTTCATCTCATGCAACAAACTTTTATCATTGGTTGCAAGTAAAAATATCATCTACGTATAAAAACAAGAAAACAATCTTACTCCCACTAACCTTCTAGTATATACATTGATCTATGGGATTTTAAACAAATTCGAGTGAAGAAATTACTCCATGAAATTAAAATACAATTGACGGAATTCTTGTTTTAGACTGTATATAGATTTCTTAAGGTTACAGACTAAGTGCTCACCATCATTGGAGGGGAATCCTTTACGTTGTTTCATATAAATCTCTTCATCTCAATCTCCATTGAGAAATACTATTTTCACATCCATTTGTTGCAGCTCAAGGTCAAAATGGGTTACTAATGTCAAAATAATGCCTAGGGAATCTTTTTTAGATTCTCAAGAAAAGGTCTCCATATAATCGATTCCCTTCTTTTGAGTGAATTCCATTGTAACAAGTCTCACCTTGTATTTCTTAATGTTTCCTAGTAAGTCTTTCTTTGTCTTAAAGACTCATTTATAGCCAATAGCTTTAGCACCCTAGGCAACTCAACAAGATCCCAGACTTCGTTAGTCTTCATGAACTCATTTGTTCCTTCATGGCATTGTACCATAATTCTGACTCTTTGCAACTTATGGCCGGTGAAAATGACTCAGGATCATTTTCGATTCCAATACTATAGTCAGGTTCTTGTAGGTACATTTCATAATCACTAGGAATTGCTTACCGTTTTGCTCTAATAGATCTTCTTAATATTGTACCATCATCTTTCTGAGAAACTTGTGGTTCAACTGTTTGTTTAGGAGGTTATGGTAATTCTTGAATTACCTGATCTACTTTAACGTTGTTAGTAGCTTGTGGAATTTCAATGGATGGTTGTTTAACAATTGTTTGTATTTAAGGGGTGCTGTGAACTATGACTAATCTGTCACTTGAGGTGGAAGATTGAGATTCTAAATGATCATGCTCAGAAACTTTGTTCCTAGTTTAATCGCTCCCACTTATCTAGTCATTCTAAAAAAATTTAGCATTCTTGATTACACAATCTTAACGTTGTAAGATAGATAGTTAAATCTGTACCTTTTAGATCTTTTGTCATATCTAATGAAATACCCACTAGTAGTCATCGGGGTCATGCTTCTTCTCTTGTGGATTATAGATTCTTACTTTAGACAAATATCCCCAAACGCACATAAGTCGCAAACTTGGTTTCCAACCTTTCAATAATTCAAATGACGACTTTGGGATAGCCTCGGTTGGAACTCGATTTAATATATACACTACGATCTTAAGTGCTTCAGTTCATAGGGATTTAGGAAGATTGGAGCTACTAAGCATACTCCGTACCATGTTCAATAATGTTTGATTTCGTCTTTTTGTCACACCATTCTGGTCTGGTAAACTAGGTATAGTATATTGGGCAACTATCACATGCTCTTGAAGAAACTTAGCAAATGGACCAGGTGCTTGTCCATCCTCTGTGTGTCTACCGTAATATTCTCCACTTTTATCTGATCTTACCATCTTAATTTGATTTTTACATTGTTTCTCTACTTCAGCCTTAAAGGTTTTAAAGGCATACAACACTTCTCTCTTATTATGAAGTAAGTAGAGATACTTATATCGTGAGTAATCATCAAAAAAGGTGATGAATATTTCTGATGATATGAGTCCATGTCTGACTACATATATTAGTTCGTATGATTTCTAATATGTCCGAATTCTTGTTGGCATCTTTTTGGGACTTGTTTGTCTGCTTTCCCTAATGCATTCCATACATACGTCAAAATCGGTGATATCTAGAATACTAAGTACCCCCATCATTTACCAATCTTTTAATTCTTTCTATAGGGATATCTCCCGATGCCACAACATTGATGAGTTTTCATTAATATTACACCATTTAGTGCCTGTGCGAACATGCATTGAACTATAAGTGTTCTTGTTTTGTAAATTAATACGATAAAGACCATCAGACAAAATACAATTATCAACACAATTAGAATTATATAATAAAGTGAATGACATGTTTGAAAAATTAAAAGAATATCCCAATGGTACAAGTTTGGAAATAGAGATCAAGTTTCGTGAAAAAACATGGAATATAAAAGGTCCTATATAATATCAAAACAAAACCTCTACTTAAAGTTAAAATGCATGTCCCTATAGCCCTCACATGTAAGCCCATTCTATTTCTGGATAAGATATTTTGCTTACTTCCCATTGACTTCCTTAGATTTGTATAACTTGCAAGGAGTTTGCAATATGGATTGTGTGAGGTTGTATGGCTTTCGTTTTCTCTTTCATTTTAATTTCTTTCATATTTCCTTAGACATAAGAGTAATAGCAACTATTTCTATCTAATGCAAAAAGATCCAACGATCCTAATTTTATTAGTATCTATAACTGATTTCTTGTGTTTAATACTAATCGATAGAACTTCATTGATAAGTGCTACAAGATCTCATGCATTGGAACCCAAGGTTATGATCCCGGATCCATGAGTATGGTACATTTTATTTTCCAAGTGAAATCCCCTAGTATATGAAGAGCGAAAAAGTGTTTTTGTTGTTGTGGAATAAAAAAGCTTTTGTATCTTAATGTACGTATTTGATTTATTTGGAGCTATTAGTTCGAGATCCACTTTTTGGGGAATATGAGTCGAAAAAATAATAAGAATATTTCTAGTGGAACATCTTTCAGAGAAATAGTTCATTAATAGATCGAGGGATAAGTAATTCGACTCATTTACATCTAGATCTCTACTTGTTAATAGATTGATAAGAGTATTGTTCCGATAGATAACTCTTCTATAGAGTTCATTAATATTCGAGCTCATTAGATTACCCATATACATTTGAACGATGGGTCTCAACCAGGAGGAAGAACTAGTACTAAACACAAAACCATCCATTTTCATTCTATATTTGTTCGAATAAAATGCTTGGCCAATTCCATGCGTCTTACTAAAAAATCATTTTGTCTTCCAACTTTTCGACCTTCCCATTCATTTCTTGTGGGTCATTCTTCCCCTAATTATTCCCATTCTACCACTGAATAATCTAGAATAATTCGTAAATCCACATCAATTAAATGTTCTCAAATAGCACTTGCTGTAATGCCCCAAATACCCTTGACATAAAATTTGAGTTGCTATTGATATAATTTCATAATTATACTTTACGTGGAAATAAATTTAAAATCTCATAAATCGAATTAAATCAATACAAAAACAATAAATAATGAAACTTAAAAAAATTATTAGAATCTAAGAAAAATTTAATCTCTAAACATAAAAAACTAATTACTGATCATTTCTTTGAAAATGTTTTACTTGGCAACCCGCACACCACTCAGCTACTATCCACATTTGACAGATTTAGCTTGAAAAATTAAAATTTGAAGGAATGAATAATTTAAACCCAATAGGATACGTGCGTCCAAAAAAATATAATAAATTTTAAATGTAAAATATGACATTTCAAACCACCATTTCAATGAGAATAGACATAGATCAATCGAATACTCTAACACATTTCTGTGCAAATAATTGAGAAAACCCGAATGAAATCTCACATTTCCTTTTATTAAGACCCGTAGGTTAATTAGTATTTCATGGAATAAGTTACGTAAAAAGAAAATATAATATTGCAAGGACATATGAACTTGCACATAGTTTTTTTTTATTTGGTTTAGCTTTGCAATAATACATTGTATTTCAACTCTTTGTAAGTTCAAGCCATGGTACACAAAATCCAATCCATAATATTAAAGGAGAATCTCGGTATATATTCTAATATTCCTCTCATGTCTATGGTAATAATTAAATCAATTTTTATATTGAATCCAGTTTTTAAAAATTTGACTTTCCATATATAGCAATAGAATTCAGGATCATATCGTGATCCAGATATAACCTAGGTAGGGAAGTTTATAATCAACTTGAAACACAAAATATTATGCATCTTTTGGCCTTTGTGATCTTGTAGGGTAATTGATCAAACCTGTCACAAGTAAAGATAGATTCTCGTTTGGCATTCTGTATTCAGGTACATGATCTCAAGGTCCATTTCCAGCAGAGATGGGAGGAAGTGCACCAATAGCTCTATTCATATATTTGCTTCCTCTTCAAAAGGGTCGGGAATAATAAAAGTAACCCAATAAGGAAAAGCACAGACAAGGTCTTAAAATCGTATAGGTCTTTAACCGACTTTAAATCTCCAAGAGCAAGCCCAGCCCTGACTGTAATAAAGGAGGCGGAATTAGACCTAGAGCGGTAGCAAGAAAGAATATATGAATTGGTATATCTACAATTGGTGATGATAAATTGATAAAAAGGTTTGGCAACGTTGGAGTAACTCTCAAAAAAAGCATGTAATTAAGCAATTTCTCTCTGCGCTTTGCTATCTCTGCCTGAAAATATCTCAATTTCTCAGGCCACAACCAGTTAACAATAGGCTTGCCAATCAACTTAGATAGGAAATAACAGGATGATGCACCAGCTATGGCATTAAAGACAACCAAAAAAAGGCCTATGATAACACCGAAAAGAGTCCAGCAAGCAAGAACATGAAAATGTTCCCAGGTATCATAAATGTCTGCATGAATAGGTACATAGAGCAGTAACCCAGATCAATGAACTTAGCTGGGTAATCGTCGGCAAATGTTCCAAGATGGTCCTTAATCACCCGAAGTTCAGAAAGGGTGCGGGGCAGCCTGAGCTCCCCATATGCAGCTGCTGGCCTGGTAAGGTAGATGCAGAACAACCCGGTCAGAAACACCAAGAACACTCCCATAGCAGCAGCAAACTCCCACCGTGATAGCTGGAACTTATCCGGCTCGAACTTCTTCCCATTGGGGGACTCTGTATTCTCCCCATCCCTATTCAACATCCGGACCCCCATCTCCACCACCAACACCCCCCGCGGTGCAGCCATTAACTAGGACGAGGATGAAAACGTTGACGTGAACAACGATCGCGAAAGATTGTTGATTTAACCTTCACTACAAAAGCAAATTTTGTTTTTCTGGGTAGATTTAGTGGTGACATTGATGAATTAAAAGTACTGTTGAATTCAGTGAATTGTGGGCATTAAATAGGGCGGATAATTTTTGAAATAATTAGTCTCATAAAAATTGAAAACGAGAATTTTTGAAATAATTATACAAGGAATAAAAATGTTGAAATTTAGCTTCGGTATCATATAATGCGACACTGGGATCGACGAGCAATTAAATGAATTGTGTAATTTGTGATAAAACCCTAGAGAGAGATTTATAGATGAATTGACGTCGACTTGCACATAGTATCCTACCTTATTAGCACAAATGAATGTTGAAAGACAAAATCCAAAAATTACATTCCAAATCTTTATTTTCTACCTACGTTATTGTTGCTGTGTATGTGCATATGTTAGATGAAAATAAAGATGCAAATGAATTTTGGTAGAATATAAGTTTTTGCTGAATTTAAAGAATGAAACCAAAGTAAAAATAAAAAATAAAAAAATGGGGTTCTTGGCAAACATACGTGTATGGTATTAGTATTTATATGTAAACGTAAAGTAGTTTATTAGGGTTAGGATTGTATCATAGTCAATTTGTTTTTATTCTAAATTATGTAGATAATGACTATTTATTTAGTGCTATTGTATTGGATAATACAAGTGATGTCAAATATACATATAATCCACAATAATTGCATGACGGGTTGAAACATGAATGATTTTTTCAAAATTGATGCTCACATTAAGATAAGTTGGACTTGTAATTGCATTGAATATAAGGTGATAAGTGTGTTTTGCACACTTATTTAGGTCACAAAACATGGAAAATTGTTAATATATATGTTGAAATATGACTTAATTCGATATAATGTGTGTTTGTAGGATTATATTAATGGATGAAATGAAGAGTATGAGAAAAAGAACGAAAAGGACCAAAATGGAAGAATATGAAACTCCGAGGACCAAATTGTAATTACTCAAAAGATAACCCGAATGGTGAGTCAAGTATGGAATTGAGCTAAGTAACACATTGTGACATCATGGGATGTTAGAAGAAGAAGAAG